CGAGCTCCGAGCGGCTCCGGCTGGGCGCTGACAGCGCCGGGAGGGCCGGTGCAGCGGCCGGAGACCGTCCTCGTCCTCGTCCTCATCCGCGTCCGCATCCTCTTCCCCTCCCGCCCCGCCGCCCCTACCCGATGTGCTTCCTCCGCAGGGCGAGGGTCTCCGCCTTGCTGTAGCGCTGCTCCATCCCGCCGGCACGGTTCGGCCCGCCCGGGGGCTCCCCGCCTCTTATGCCGGCGCCGGCCCCCCCTAAACCCCTCCTCCGTGTTGCCTCCCTCCCTCCTTCCTTCCCCGCTGGGACGGCCCGGCCGCGCACCCTTTTTTTTCCATTTGGACTACCTGTGTTTACTGTATAGCGAGAGCTCAGCCGAGGGTTGCCCCATCGCCTTTGAGTTTCTCTAGCTCAGCCTTGCAAAACCAGCGCCTTACTGCGGAGGCTCCCCCCTCCTCCTTCCCCCGGCTCCGACGGGCGAGTGTGCTCTTGCTGGGCTTGCTCACATTTTGTCTGTAGTTCGGGGGTCAAAAGACTTCTGCTGCAGACATCCTCGTAGGGGGGCACCAAGCGGTCGATTTAATCAAAAATAGGGTCATCATTCAAGGACCTTCACAGCTCCTTATCTCTGGAATCCGTATTTCTTGTAAAGCGGGGCAAATTACCAAAAGCTATGGTTTTAGTCTGTTTTTACAAGTGTAAGAATAGGAGTCTAGCCCTGGTGCTCTGATGCATTGGTACATCCTTTAGCAGTGTAGGCAGGACCTGAGTGTAACCATTTGTATGATCTCTTCCTAACCACAGTGACAATAGTGACATGAGCTGCTTCAGTGTGGCATTCCTTCATGGTTACCCTTCATAACCACCTCACTGGACACCAAAGCCCATGAGAAAAGAAGGGAACAATTTAATGGGGAGGAAGGGCAGAATTCACATCAAGAGGCACTGCATTTGAAACAGCAAGCAAAGCTGCTGGCGGAGCACCTCAGCTCACTCCCTGTCTGGAGGCTGCTCCTTGAGCTGCATGGGCAGACAGCAGCAAACCCTATGCCCACATCCCTGCTACCCCATCTGTAGCTCGTCTGTGCCACCTGCAGCACTATGCTTGGAAGAGTTTTCAGAGAGCATATGGAAAGCCACGCAATTTCCTGTGCTGATGATACTTTTCTAGATCCGTATCCAGTAAGTCATACCAAATTTTGCGGATGAAGAAACACAAGTCCTGATTTTCTTTTTATATATCTCTGTCAGTAAGCCACCTTTCTGCTTCTCTAGTCCAACAGTTCTTTTCCTGCAGGCATTTTTTTGAGCTTCATGAGACTGTTAATTTTGAAGCAGCTTTCACATTCCTGCAATACTGCTCCATCAAAAACCTTGCATCACCAACCAACTAAACAGAAGTGGTAGGAGGCATCCGCGGCTACACCTCTATATCCCAGCAGAGACAGCAGTTGCCTGTCTTCAGTGCCTTGTCCAGGAGTCATGGACTTGAAAAATATGAGGGGGTTGTCAAAGCTGTCAGCCAGGGCAGTATTGTACCAGCAGAGATGAGATTCATTGATGGGTCTCAAGAACACTTAGATCTGCTAACACCCACACTGAGCCCAGGCTAGAGCCTGTCAGGAATGCTGTCTGCAATGCTTTTGTTTTGCCCACGTCTCTGAAAGCTGGGGAATGATAGGCAGCACAAGGCAGCTGTAGTTCAAGCTGTACGCATTACATACTGGACCTAATTGTAACACTAATCAAGGAAAGGCGAGACCCCAGGCAGTGAATGGCAGCATGTGAGTCTGAAGGCATTTCAGGAGCAATGCTTTTCCTGCACCCAGCTGGTGCCTGCGTGGGTGCTGAGCACAGCCTTGTCCCTCCTCCGGGGCTGCTGGGCACGCCAGTGCTGGAACAGTTCAGCTCTTCATGCTGACCTGCCCGGTCTTGCTCACACAGAAACCCTGGACCACAAACACATTTAAGGGATATACAAGCTACTGTGCTTCTACTCCTTTACAAGCACTCAGCAGCAGCCAGCTCCGCTTATATCAGGGCTTTTTGTTCCAGGTTTAGCAAAACAAAGCTTGTTCACAGCTAAATTAGCAACTGCTTGAGGTGATACTAAACTTCATCAGGAAAGGAGCGGTAGGTGAAGTAGCTTGTTAGAAGGCGGGTGACGTGCCATGGAAAGAGGCTTCACAATCAAGAAAATATCCCTTCCTCTTGGCTCAGAGTTCTTGTATGCTCGGTTGATATTATCAGCAGGAAAAAGCCAGTCGAGTCTCACGCATAGGGCAGAGGAGGTCCCACCCCCATTAGTAGAGAGAGCCCTGCGTGAGACACAGGCTTTCCAGCACCCTGTCACTTGGCTTTTTTAGACCTCTCCTGCTCCTTCTGCTTGCCCTCACAATGCTGTGGAGGAAGTACTAGCAGCTGTTTTTTCCATTCTAAAAGCTCTGTTTGCTTTCAGAACATTTTATTTGATTTTGTTTCTACCCTTGTTTAAGGGCTTTGTCCTGGGAGCAACTGGCAGTCTGGCTCCCTTTACGAATACTGAAAGTGAGTAAATATTTCTAAAAGCCATTCAAAGTATCCAAGTAAGGTGCCTACACCTCCTTGTTTAAAAGAAGTTATTGGTACCTCTGAAAAACATGTTGCTAGTGCGTCCTGAGAAGCAAACCCGTTACAGATGGTCAGTGGAAAATGATCTGCAGTGGAGATCTGTTTCAGTAAAGACAAAGTGTACCCATCCACATCTCCAAAGGGACAGCCGGGGACTTGCCTGCGAGTTGGTGCAGTGATGGGTCCAGCAGGCCCCTGAGTCAGTCGAGTGCAGGGTGTGTTAATTGGGTACAAATAGGCCAAGGGGAAGGCAGAAGAGAACAGGATTATGTTACTTACCCAGCTTCAAGGCAGCATCGCTTTCCAGAGCCATTTGCATGCTTGCTGGGTCCTGAATAATTTTTGTCTAGAATTGTTTCAGTGCTGAATGTCCCAGCAATGTTTGCAGTTACAGATTTTTAATTGGCAGCTTTATTCTATACTCATCTTTCTGACACGAGCTAATGGATGTGAGAGTCAATGTTTTAGACTTTTTTTTTTGCCATATTTGTTTTTATCAGGTTTGTCTCAATCAGAATCAATTACATTACAACAATCTGAATATGCCAAAGAGAAGAGAGCTTCTAAAAGCCCACAAGAAGTTGCTGGGTGCTTGTTAACTGCAGGAGGGAGCAGCCAAAGGTGGTGCCAGTGGGAGCTCATGACTGCTCAGTTTAGCTGTGGGCACTTGGAAAACTCTGTCAAGCTATAATCTGAAATTAGCAGAAGCCAACAGAAAAGAAGACAAATTAGTAACCCTGGGAAGACAGAAAAACTGCTTGCAGAACATGACTTAAATGTTTTTGCATTCCTTTGTTTGTTTGTAGGTTTTTTAATATGTATTTGCCTGCAGTTGTCACTACTTCCTGGAAGTCACTACTTCCTTTTTTTGTCCTTTTAGTTTTTAAAATTTGTGTGTGGTTGTATTATAATTGAACCACTAGATGAAGCTGTGTGAGATGAGGATGTAAAAGAGCACTTCTATAGTATTTTTTTTGACCGTAGAGTCCTTGTTACAAATGGGTAAGGGTTAGCAGGTTTGGTAGGTCCACAAAGCAGAGTTGGGTATAAGTAATGGCCTTTAAGTATTTAATTAAAAGCTCCATTAAAAAAAAAAAGAGGGAGTAGCAACAGTCATTTCATCTGCAGCCCTGTGTGTGCTTTGGCACGTCACCAAATTACGAAGGAGGTATTGGGACAGGAGGGAACACCAGAGGAAATCATGTCCCACGAGCGCAGTAGGATGTGAAGGATAGAGGATATTGGTTAGCTGAGGGTTGGCTGCAGAGGGAGTGTGATACTGGAAAATAACAGGGAGGTGGTAGAAGAGCTGAATGGGAAACCCAGTTAGCTCCAGCAGTAGCCGGAGCGCACTGGTTGTTCCCATCCTGGTAATGACACTACCAAAAATATGCACACCACAGGCAGAAAGCTTAAAGTAACTTGGCTGACAACAGAGCAGCTACAGCGCTGAGAGGAAAACCAGCAGGAATAGTCCAGAAGATGCTTTGTGTTTGCTTCCCAGCAGGACAGGTACAGCAGCAGCATCCAGAGCTCCTGTCCCTGGCAAAAGGAGAAGAAAGGAGAAAGCTGGAAGAAAGGAGAGGCCAAGAGTCACCGCAGCAAGAGTGAGGACTTCACCTGGGTCAGGACCAGGACGTGGAGCGCGGCAAAGCAGCAGCAGCTCTTGGCGTCACGGGTGCTTCCTCGGGATGCTGGGCACGCTAAGCTGTAAGTACCTCATCTGGCACAGGTACCAAAGCTATTTTTAGTCCCCTGAGTCTAAAACAGGGCTAGGTAAGGCTGGCAGACATTTGTGGAGATTACCAAGAGTTAAGAGTAGAGGTCAGAGTCCCACGGTGCTCGTTCTCTCTCTTAGCCTAGAGTGACTTTATTTTTGAGGTGAAGAAAGGGAAAGTAATGGGGAGTGCTTTGTTTGTCTAAAATATTTTGGGATTTAGCAAACGCAAACATGTAAGTGTTTTTTGAAGAGATTACAGCTGCTGCTCAATGGTTTTTGTTGTTTTGTTTTGTTTTGTTTTTAAAAGTCCTTTGTTTGAGGAGACTCCTGCAAAAATGTGTCAGGGTGCTTCTTTTCTGAACAAATTGGATTTGTGTTGAAACAAACCTTCAGATTTTCTAGCTTGTGCTGTTGCTTGTGACACTGCATCTGCATACATCTTTATTTCTCAGCAGTTCAGGTTTATTATTCACCTTCAGTATTATAGAAAGGGGAGAAGATCGGTCATTTTCACCTTTATTTCTTTGGATCCTAGGATGCCTGTGGACTTGCCTAAACAATAGTTTTGCCTTCTGGTTAATACACAGATCCTTGCAGCTTTTCCAGAGCAAGGAAAGGCTCTAAGGTTTGCAGCAAAGCTTCTTCCTTCCTTACCTTTATGATGGCCATAGCCTGTGCTGCCTGTTTAGAAACGATGACTGAACGGACTTGACTGTGAAGGGAAAAGATGTATTCAATATAGGAAGAGCAAGGTGGGGTTTTCTAATTGCACCCGGTGGGAAATTGGGACAAGTTGCAAAGGCCCTCATTTTTCTTGTGAATGTGAAACCGGACTGACGCGACCTGCGCTAGATTTCAGACTACAGACTGGCACAACGCAACGCGCC